AGAAATGACCAATAAATACATTTTTTAAAATGTTCAACATCATTGGCCATTACAGAAATGCAAAATAAAACAACCCTGAGATTGCATCTTATCCTGGAAAGAAGGGCCATCATCAGGAAATCAAATAATAACAAATGCTAGAGAGGCTCTGGTAAAAAGGAACACTACTATACTGTCATTAGGAATGTAAACAAGTACAACCGCTATGGAAGTCAGTATAAAGATTCCTCAAAATCTAAAAGTAGAAATTCCCTTAGAATTCCCCTTTTAGGGATCTTCCCCTTTTAGGTATCTTCCCAAAAGAGTTAAAGACATGATATTATAGCAATACATGCATATCCATGTTTCTAGCAGCACAATTCATAACAGCTAAGTCTTGGAAGTAGCCTATATGCCCATCAACAGATGAATGGATAAAGAAAATGTGGCATTGTACACCACAAATTACTACGTTGCCATAAAGAAGGATAAACTTGAATCATTTGTAGGAAAGTGGATGCACCTTGAAACCACAATGTTAAGTGAAATAAGTCAGACACACAAGCTGAAACACTGTGTAGTTTGAGAAACCCAAAATATAAATAAAGTGCAAAATATAAGATAGATAATAGAAAATAGGAAGACAGACCTTTTGTGAATGGAAGAGGGACCAAGAGATTGGGGGAGAGGGAGAAGATAAAAAACATTAAGATATGTTTTATATATATACCAATTGCCCTCAATGAATATAATGATTATGTACTAGAAGCATGTATTGGTAAAAAATTTTAAAAAATAAAGTTAGACCCAATACTGTATAAAAATATTTACTCAAAATGGTTCAAAGAAGGGAAAATATACATATATGTATACAGAAGAATGGCTGGGATAATTGTACTCCTAATGTCTAATGGTTTATTGAAAGGAACAGTTAATGCTTTATTTATTTTTTGACCAATATTGCATGCTTATATCTGGTAATCTGAAAAACTAATTTGAAAACAACCATATGCAACATAACGACCATTGTTGAATTCCTATCATCTTGTTTGGTGAAACTCTGTATCATATATAATTTTTTGTTTTTATTTTTTATTCTCTTTAATGGTTTGATTAATCTTACATTCTGACTTCTGGTAATCTGACCAACTTCAATGAAGATAAAAATATGTACTACAACAACCACTGTTAATCCTTATCATTTTGTTCTGAAACCCTGTATCATTCTCATTGCTTTTGCTTTGTTTTGTTCTTGTCTATGTTGTTGTCATTTTGCTATTGTTCTTTTTTTTTAATTCTCTTTAAAATGAAAAAAAAAATTTAAAATGGATCAAAGACCTAAACATTTGCACCAAACTGTAAGACTCTTAGAAGAAAACACAGGGTCAACCTCTGTGACCTTAATTTTGGCAAAAGACTCTTAGACATGACATTAAAAGCATCAGCAGTGAAAGAAAAAAATAAATTGGATTGGAGCCAGGGATGTAACTCAGAAGCACAGTATCTGCCTAGCAAGCATGAGACCCTGAGTTCAATTCCTGGTACCAAAAAATAATAATAATAATAAAATGAAATACATTGAATTTATCAAAATTAAAAACTCATGTTTCACAACCCAAATGCCCCTTAACTGAGGAATAGATAAAAAAGATGTGGTCTTTTTATACAGTGGGATACTGTTCAGCTATAAAGATAAACTGAAGACTTCTATAGGTAAATGGATGCAACTTGAAACCATACTCATAAGTTAAATAAATCAGACTCACATGTGCAAACACTGTATTGTCTCCTTAGTATGAGAAGTTGAAAGAGTAAATAAGATCCAAAGTGTTCAAGAGATATTGCAAGATGGGAAGAAACTGTTCAAAGGGAAAGAGAAACTGGATGGGGAAAAGGAGAAAAGAAGGAAGGGAAAAGCAAAAAAAGAAAAATATATATATAAGGACAGTTAAGATAGTTATACTACTAATTTCTCTTAGTTCATTGAAAAGAAAGGTTGTGCTAATATTGTTTGGATAGTTATATGCCTATATCTTGTACACTGAGTAACTAACTTAAAAATAATGTGCAATGTATTAGCCATTGTTACCCTCCTACTATCTTGTGTGAAATTTTGTGGGTTTTTTCTCTTTAAAATCAAAAAAAAACTCATGTTTCAAAGGACACATTGACTGGAAAGCCAATCCATAGAATAGGAGTAATTCTTACAAATCATGCATCTGATAAGGGACTTGTATTCAAATATATAAAGAATGCTTACAACTCAATGATAAAAAGGCAACCAATTTTTAAATAATCAAAAAAAATGAACAGATATTTCCACAATCAAGATATGTGAATGACCAAGAAATACATGAAAAGGCACTCAACATCAGTGATGAGGGAAATGCAGGTCAAAATCATAATGAGATATACTACCTTATACCTGCAGATGATGGGAAGGGTGTGGGAAAACTGGAACCATCATAATTACAAGTGGGGCAGGTGGGAATGTCAAATGGTGCAAGTACTTTGAAGAACTGTCAATTCTTTAAGCAATTAAACTTACATCCACCATGTAACTCAGAAAAAATATATCTGTGCAAAAGGAAGTAGGTACTATATGTAAAATTATATAGATGGACTACAGTGAGAAAATATTTCATTATCATATTATTTTCTTGCCATAAAGAGTGAGTTTTAAATAAAACATGTGCAATGAGAATTTCTTCTTAACAAATCAAAGAATTAAAAGAGCAACCAAGAAGGTATCATTGTGGAGAGAAACGTAGGTAGCTGCCTATGGCAGAGGGGTCACAAAAGCATTTCTATGGGCACGAGCCAGCACCCTGCAATGAAATGACAGGTGCCATCAGACGTGCTCATCCAGGCAGCAAGCATCTCTTCCATTACCTGCTTTAGAAGTAACAAGCTGCAGCACAAGAGGTCGTCTTGTCACAATGCCTGACCCTCGAGGAAGAAAGTCCCTGAAAAGATAAGAAATAACAGATTAAGTCATTCAGAAATTCTGATCATCTATAAATGTGTAAGTTGAGGTCTACAGTAATTGTTCTAATTCCTAATCTTTCAATGTATCATCTAAAGAAGGCTAGATCCAGGTATAAAGGAAGCATCCACAAAGTTTGATAAAGGAGGAGGGCCGTATATGGAGTATAGACCCATTATTATCATAATGACTTCATGGAATATATCATTCACCTACACCTGTTTTATTTTGCTGGAGTCAATAAAAACTTGCATTAAGATTTTATATTTATCATTTTCATTGTCAGAGAATCAGCATTAATACAGATATTTGATGTTGAAATTAACCTTAAACTTGATTTTAAAACATCAGTACCCTCTGTGGCTTCAAGGTCACTATTAGCAGCATCAAATTGACCATTACTAAGAGATTACTTTGTTTTGAAATGTCCTGAAGCTTTTCCTCAATAAAGGGACACATAAAATGTGGGGTCAAGTGGTGACAAATCTTGTGTCTATAGAAATGACATGAGAAAAAAATATTACAACTTGAGTTTTGTTTCTTCCCGTTTTTGATAAATGGTAGTTTCTAGGCGTGTTAATATACCCTGCACCAATAAAACTGCAGAAAAGAAAGCATTATAAAAAATTTCACTGGCAATGCCAAAGAAGTCATTACTAATTCTACAATGCCAAAGAATTTGTAAACATACCAGTAACACAGTTTTTAAGCACATTTACAATGCCTCACAAATTTGGGAGGAATCATCATAGAACTTACTTCAAAATAAACTTTTTGCTCAAAGGCAGTGTTCTTCAAAAGTAGTTCCAGGACCACCAGGAAGTATTACAACCCCAGACACCCAGGACCTATCCTGAACCTACAGATCTGATAACAGTGGTGTACACTTTACTGTAAGTGCTGTAAAAAAATTTCAACACTGAAGAGATCTTAATGAATGAAATATGCAAAGGCCAGAGAAAACACTAAAACTCAAGCTTTTGGTTGCACTGATAGGATGGTACAGAAACCAAATCAAGCAAAATTTTACCCTCATCTGTTTTATTTTGCAAGTGCCAAAGTATATTCTGAGAGATGAAATAGTACTGGACAGCCCTTAAACTAAACTAATGACTTGCTTCTTAATTCTGACTGCTCAAGTTCAAGTAGATTATTACTGTAAACAACTGAAATAGAACAGTGAAGCATAGATTTGTGTTTGTTTTAAAATATGCCACTTGAAGTAAAAAGTATTATTTATTTCAAAAAATTCAATGAGAAATTCAGAAATGGCAAGAGATGCTGTGGAAATCACCCCATGCTAGGTATTCATGGTGAGCACCAGAGTTTGAAGTCTGATCAGAAGATAATGACATGAACATAGAAAATTTTAAAGACACAGGGAGAGAAAAACTACCCTGGAATTTAGAGAAAGGAGAGAGCAACATTCTCCTTATAATGGTGTTTTGAATATAGCTGAAAAGGTATGTAGCTACATATTCTTTCAGCATTTTCCAGGAGCTATATTAGAATAGTTGTTAATTTAGATGGTTTCAATAATCATTTTAAAATTTAATTAAAAATGAACAAAGCCTCTATTCTGTGCCTATAGCCAAAAAGGAAAAGGTTGATTTGAAAATCAAAATGAATGAAATGAACACAAAAGAAAACCCCAGGGTAAAGAGCTGGAGAGAATTTGAGCTGTCATGGGAGAGGTTTCAGGATGTTTAGATATCAAAGAGAAGTAAAAGGTTTTAAATGCTTGAATAATGTCATTTAGCAAATCAAATATTACATATATAATGTTTTTAAACAAAAAAAGAGGAAGGAAGGAAGGCAGGAAGGAAGGAAGGAAGGGAGGGAGGAAGGAAGGGAGGGAGGAAGGAAGGGAGGAAGGGAGGAAATTAAGGGGAAGGAAGCCTTGGGGGAGGAGAGGGGAGGGAGGAAGGGAGGAAGGGAGGGAGCAAGGGAGGGAGGGAGGGAGGGAGGAAGAGGGGGAGGAGCTTAGTTACTGTACACCCTCATGCTGGGACCTATTTCCACTCATCCTTGTGGCTACACATTTATGACACAGACTTAGTAGCTGTTTCTCTGAATATTATTAACGTAAAGCAGAATGTATCTAATATTTTAAATAGCAAATAATTATCATAAATCTCAATGAAAAAATAAACCCAAGGTGCTGGGATGTGGCTCAGTAGTTCAACCTTTGCCAAGCATGCACAAGGCCCTGGGTTTGATTCCAGCACTAGAAAAAAAAAGTAAATAAAAAGTAAGCCCATAGATACCGCGAATGCTTTTCTGCTTTTTAACTTAGCAAGCAGAACTTTGCAGTAAGAGTTAAGCGGATCCGAGTATGCGACCTCATGCTTACATTTACTGGCTTCCTTTGTAGCTCTCACCCACCTACCACCAGTGTATACATTTTTGCCAGCACTGAAAAGATCAGGTAACCAAATCTTACTATTCAGACATCTTTCCTGCTTCATGGGAGTCTCCAATATGCAGCAAAGCACTACAGAGTTTCCCTCTAGTGAAAAGTAAGCAGCTGATCTGGCATCCTGGAAATCCATTTCATTCTGATGACCCGGGGGGAAAAAAAAAACACCGTAGGCCTAGTATATTCCTGTGGTAGGAGGGGATGAATGAGCCCTCAAGTGAGAGTCAGGGAATGTCCCTTTTGAACAGCAAAGGAAGATGGGCAAAATTCTCTCCAAACCTAGGTTTATTTTACTAATAACCTCAGAAACCTAACTATAGCCCAAACTGTATGGCTCAAATGCAATACAACATACAAGCACCATAGAAATCATTACTGCTATTATGGTTATGATACAGCCAGAGTGATTCCCTGATACTGAAACATTCTCCTACCAAAATACTACACAAAACAAGGCAACAAAAGAAATTATATATCATATTTTGACAATTCACGGGTGGAATGTGGGGATGAGAGGCCACAGATCCCCCTGAACGGTCCTCTTGGTGTTGACCGGCAGTCATGGTTTGGAAAGCTCAGGTCCTCCTCCCTGACTCCGCCGACGCCATGCCCAGGTGCAAACACAAGCAAGCTTGAATAATTCATTAGCCACTGGGTGCAATCAACTACTTGAATGTTATTATTTCCTCTGCAATAGGTGATTAGTTTTCTCCCATCAGCATATCTCATGGGAAAATTACTACATTCACGGAGGAAAAATGACTGCACCTTTAGTATTACTTTACATAGAGGCTACACATTTTCTCTAAATTTATGGTCTAATACATACACATGTATGCAGATGAGGAGTCACAGACCCCATTTAAACCGTAAACCATCCCTTACATCCACACCCATATGTCATTTTCCTCCCAGTGAGCCTTCAAGGAAGACTGAGAAGAGTAATTTGAAGACTACATGTTATTAAATAGATTCCAGTCTATTACATGAGTGCCTTATTTGTGGCACTGTACAGATCTCAGATCTCAGAGCAGAAAGACAGATCTCAGGACAGAAACATGGCTTTCCTCTCTGCCATATAGAGCTACAACTCAAATGCCTTTCTTGTCCCTCTCAACCTCCTCAATAAAGCGCCAAGCTACAGTCCTAACCGCTGTTCTCCAGGCCATAAGTGAACATTATTTTATAGCTTCCTTACCCATAGACAAGAAGTACAGAACACTTTTCACAGTGTGGTCTAAATACTAGCTTGACAACCTCTCTTACTGGCTCCTCCAGAGACTTAGTTTTTAAGAAATGTTATTATTGCTCCACTAAGAAAAGGTTTAATTTGGAAGACTGAAAAAGGAGAGCACACTTGCTATACCAATAAACTGTAAAGAATTTCCTCCTTAGAAGCAAAGAAAATAACTGTAGAGATGCTTTCTTCAATATTGATGTAAGTGATCATTAACCAGATGATCTGCTCAATAAATAAATGTTTAACAACTGCCTATGACCGAAGATGGGATGCATAACTCATACTTTCCTAGAAATTAATTCATATATCTGATTCACTCAGAGATAATTAAGCTCAGTCTCAGAGGAGGATGACATGCAAATGATTATAATAAACATGACAGGTGCTATGGATAAGCTCTACACGAAGTACGTTATAAACTGAGAGCAAAGAACATGTCTTCCATTTGGATGACCTGCCAGAAACAATTTTAGAGAAGAATCATGAGAGAAGAGGCATTTCACAGAGAATTTCAATATTCCAAGACACGGAAAATTAAAGGAGCACAGATTGCTCAGGAAGTGTAAATATTAAAGAAAGGTCAGAGCTGGACAGGGAAGAAAGCAGGTACAGACCTTAGGAGCCTTCACTTGTAACTGTATTTGTTTTCAAGGAGAACAGGAAGGCACTGAAGTGTTTTAAGAGATCATATCTGCATTTCAGAAAAATGATTGAGAACTAGATGGAGAATGTCAAGATGAGGGAAAGATCTAAGATAGGAAGACTAGTCGCTGGGCAATTTAGGTCATTTGGGGTAAGGACAAGAAAAGTTAAGTCCAAGGTACTAATAGTGATGGGAAGATTATGATAGGATTCAATGACTGTTTTCACGTGGAATATAGAAATGTAAAAGAGTTCAAATAAATCTCACATTTCTGGTTTGGGTAAATGGTTGAACAGTGGTTCACAAACCACAACAGGAAATATGGGAAGATTTGACCACAGCTACTATTCATATAGTGTTGACCATAATCTATTACACACACACACAAACTTGATCCCATAATGCTCCTCTGATGTAGTTACCATTGTTATTCTCATACTATAGATGAGGAAATAGGCCTATAAAATTCACACCATTTGCACCCTCCAACTCAATTTGGACAGTGCTGAAAAGACCTTAACATCACTTTGTGGCTTTAAATCATTAAATGACTTCTTCTTGTCTTCAGCATGAAATCCAGATCTTAACATCACATACAATATGTTGTTTTTTAACACTTCCTCCAGAGAAACTTTGCATCAGAGGTATAAGATCCTTCACAATTCATTTGACCTTTTA